AAAAAATTAAACATGAATTTGCTATATGCCCCCAATGATTCCACTCCTAGAAATCTACCCAAGAGAAATGTAATCACACGTACACTCAAAGATATGTACATGAATATGCATAACAGCATTGTTCTTAACAGCCTCAAAGTGCAAACAATCGCAGTGCCCATCAACTGGAGAACAGGTAAACAAAATGTGGTACATCTTTTTAAAAGAGTACTATTCAGCTCTAAAATGAATGAACTACTGATACATATTACAATCTGTATGGATCTCAAAAATATGCTAAATACAAAATGTGACCACACAATATATAATTCCATTTATATGAAATGTTCAGAAATGACAATTTTATAGTGTCAGAGAGCAGATCAGTAGTTGCAGAGGGAGTGGAAATGAGGATTACCAAGGGAATTTTTGAGAGGCTAAAAATGCTCTAAAACTAAATCACGGGGATAGTTGTAAAACTATCCATTTACTACAAATCATAGAATTATACCTTACAATAAGTGAATTTTATACTTCAACAAAGTTGTTAGAACAACAAGAAAAAATACGTATTTATCTTAAATGTCAAATTGTGGCTTTGATCCATGTACAAAGGGATTTTGTTTGGTGAGGTTAGAAGGGGCCACTGGTGAATAACAAAGTAAAATGCCGTTAGTATATAATTAGTAGCAGTAGCAGCTATGCCCTTGGTGATTAATAGTTACAGCACTAGAAATTCAAAATCTTGCTCATTGCCGGGTCTCCCTGAGATCTGGATGTTGGCATGTTTAGCCTTCCCACTTGCAATTATCCTCCCCTAAATTGGAATAGGATTAACTAATTATAGTGGTGCCTTCAGACACAAACCACATCAAACGCCCTGGTAACCAAGAATTGTCCTAACTGCAAAAATATGCCAGAAAGCTTTAAAATTGCTGGTATCTGTTTTGAGGCCCTTGTCTCCAGAATAAGGGGGTTGGACCAACCCCCAGAGCTTCCCTAATCTAGTTTAGGTGGCACAGGTACACCCTGCACTTCCATTAACCTTATTTTCTTAAGATGCTGCTTTAAAGAGTAATCCTTTTTCCAAATATATAGCATGGGTCTCAGTAGGTCCAACCTAGAAAGCGGCAGTGAATCTCTCAAAGCACCAGGACACGGTGTGAGAAGCCATGGATTTACCTTTTGGCCCTGACATTAATCAGCTTTGTGGCTTTAGCCAGATAACTTTTTAGCCTTAGATTATTTAATCCTCAAAATGGGATAATCCTGCCTACTCCATAAAACTATTACGAGAAATAAGAAAAATAGTATATATTAAAGTACCTGACCCAGAAACTCTGTGTTGAATCTGAATAGAGGATATAGCCACAGTTCCTTGATATGACAATCAAAGCTTTCCAGAGTTTGGCCCAAACCTTCCTGTCTGTCCTAATCTTCCAGTAGGCAGATTCCCTATTCCAATAAAATCAGGCTCCTAACCACCTACCTCCGTGGAATGACTCATGCTGCTTCCTGCCTTCTGCCACCCTCTCCCCTGTGGTCGTCAGTGCTACCATCTCTCCAGACTCAGCTGGAAGCCCGTCTTCTCCAGGATGTTCACTCTGACCATTAACTCTTTAAACACCGTATGAGATCCTTAATGATATACTTTAAAAAATATGATATCTGTTTGAACATGTCTTATTTCTTCTGGTATAGAAGGCACTCCTGGAAGTGCACCAAGACTTTTCTGTCCCATTACACATCCCAATCGTGCCTCTCACAGGGTCTGAAGTAGGACAGGGGTCTCAAGTTATTTATTTTTTCTAACTGAGGAATTACTCGAAAGATAACTTGAAAACCCCTATTCAAGTCCACTTTTCTCATTTTATAGGTGAAAAACTTGTCTCCAGATAGGGGGAGTATCATCACTGTCAGTTCTCCTCCACATGTTTAGGACTCCCATTGTTTTTTTTTTGTTTTTGTTTTTTTGTAGAAACATGGTCACTCAGAATGAAAAACTCATTTCTCATCCTCCCTTTAGTTAAATGTGGGTAAAAGTAAAAGTGTAACCTAACTGCGTCTTCTCTTTTCTCCTCCTACCTCCTACATCCTGATGCCTGGAACATGGAAGTGATGGTACAATTCTACACTGACCCTTGAGAGTGAGCGTCATGACCCAGAGATGGCAGAGCACAAAGCTGAAAGAACCTGGCACCCTCAGGCTTCCAAGGAGCAGAGCCATAGTATCAGCCCCGGATTGCCTATATCTAGACTTTATATGTAAGAAAAATAAACTTCTATTTTATTCATGTTGCTGTTATTTTAAATATGCATTTGAATATTATTGGCAGCTTAACTTATCCTACTATCCCATCAGCTCTTGGATGCTCCTAGCTCTTCACATTGCCTCTAGACATACCTCTTAAGTCATTTTTCCATTCATTCAATAATTCATGCAGTAGCCATCCATGCCCTGGCCGGTTTGGCTCAGCAGTTAGAGCATTGGCCTGCAGTCCAGAGAGACCCGGGTTCGGTTCCTGCTAAGGGCATGTACTTCGGTTGCAGTTTGTCCCCGGCCCTGGTTGGGTCATGTGGGTGGCAGCTACTCAATGTGTCTCTTTCACATCGATGTTTCTCTCTTTCTCTCTTCCTCTCTCTCCCTCCCACTCTATCTGAATAAAAAATGGAAAAATGTCCTTGGGTGAGGATTAAAAAAAAAAAAATAGCCATCCAATGTGCACAGACATTCTGCCCATGCACATACATCTAAAAGGGGACTATGGTGGACACAGGAATGAAATGTACAGATCCTGCACTTAAAAAAGTTAGGGGTATCGAATGAACTTCACACACTCTTAATTCATATGACAATCCATATGTCTGACAAAAATTTGTCTCAGAATTTCTCTGACAGTTCCTTCTCAGATAATCTCACTGTTTCCAGTAATATATTGTTAATCCAACCATTTGTTCTTAACATAGTCTATTTGCCTCCCTCCATCCACTCTCTGCCTTTATCCCCTGTTTACTTTTCCCAGGGAGGCTTATCTGTATGGGTTACATCAATGGGCTCTCTTGCCCTCTGATTTCTGGTTGGGTTGGTCAGTAAGGACCCCTAGAAAGAGATCAGAGGGAAGTAAGAGAACCAGCTCTCTGTATTCATTTTTCTCAGCTCCCTCCCTGTGGGGTCATTTCAGGCCGACTTTGTTCTTCAATGGAAGGTCGCTGTTCTACTTAAGGTGGCCCACTACATGCCTCTTGACTACTGGGTCTGGTAACCATTCCTTCCCTTCACACCCTTTGAGCTGTTCCTAGCCCCAGGAAACTGCACTTTACCCTGTGGCTCCGTGCACACAGCCCACACTTGGTAAATAGCCCATTTGATAAGCCCTCCTCAGGTGATCCTACTGTGAGGCTGCCATCTGTCTCCGGCTAGTAGGCTGCTGATACAACACGTGTCCCAACTTCCAGCTCAAAATATGTAGGCACTACGTGTACATGGCAGCCATCAGATGCACTGTTAAGAAGTGGGTTAGAGTAGAGGGAAGACATTTTCCAAAATTTAGTGTGTAGAGAATCTCAAACTGTAAGAATAACATCATGACCACTAGCTTTAGGACAACATTTGGCTCTCATGTACCTGAGCTATGCACAAGTCCTCTTTATTTCTCTTTTTTTCTGGGGTATCCTGGACCAGACTATATCTTTTAAGCAGTCTAGTCTTGAAAACTTTTATTTAGAAGTGGGACTCATTTCTAGATGAAACCTGTAGTCACTAGGCAGAATTTATTTTTCAACCAACACATATCAGAAACTCGAGTATAGTATTTTCTGCCAATTCTACCAGTATTTTCACTTAGGATCTTTAAAGTATTCAATATACCTATTTCAGAGGCAAAATGCACGCTTCTTGAAGAGTGAAACATAAAATAAAATTCTCATCTGCTGCTTCTTTACTAATAATCAAAGTATTGCTGACTACAGAGAACAAAACCTAAGCATCCAATGTGAAGAACAATTTCAGACCTGGGTTGTGTGGGGAACAAAGGGGAAAAGGAGAGGAGAAAGGTGTGGTCCACAGAACAATGCACCTCCCTCCCCAAATCTCCAAGTTTTAATCCCTAGAACCTGTGAATATGTTACCTTACATGACAAAGGGGACTTCAAAGCATGGTTAACTTACAGATCTTGAGATGGAAGTATTATCCTGGATTATCTGGGTAAGCCCAACATAATCACAAGTATCCTTAGAACTGAAGGAGAGAGGCAGGAGATTCCGTGTCAGGGTGAGGTAGCACAAGAAAGACACAAGCAGCCTTTGCTGGCTTTGAAGATGGAAGAGAACCACAAGCCAAGGAATGCAAGCAGCCTCTAGAACCTAGAAAAGGCAGGGAAATGAACTCTCCCCAACAGCCTGCAAAAGGAATGCAGCTTTGCTGATATCCTGATATTAGGCCAGTGAGACCAAGTTCAGATTTCTCTTGAACTGTAAGAAAATAAATTTGTGCTGTTTTAAGCCACCAAGTTTATGGTAATTTGTTACATCTGTAGTAGAAAACTGATACAGAGTGTAAGAGTGCAGTATCGGGACCCAGAGAGCTAAGCCAGGGAAAGAAGAGGGGTGGGATGGACGGGTGGCGAGTCCGAACACACTGCGCAGCTCATCCAGACTGCGTGCTCCTTGTGAGCCTGCGCTTCCAGCAAGTTAAATTCACAAGTTAAATTTCATTCCTTTTGTGACACCCAGTAGAAGCCTTTTTCTTTTCTCTCAGAGTTTCTGAAAATTAGCAGAACCTTTATATTTTATTAGAGCGATTTGTCGGCTTAATTCAGAAGGATAAGCATCTGTCTTATACCTTATTCTGTAACTTCCTGGTGGCCATATTGCAGCAAAGAATCATACATTAAAAACAATAATTTTTAAACATTCCAAAGCATATTGTCTACAGAGCACCAGTATCCATTCTTTGCATTCCATGAGAGCCCACTGCAAACCTTCCCCCATGGCCGCCCGCCTGTTTCTGAATGGTCCTTACCATGCTCTGACCCAACTGCTCCCGAAAGAAATAATCCATGTTTCTCTTTTGCAGGTTGTCAAGGTAATGCTGAAAGCGGGTGTATGTATATGGGTAGCAGTAAGCAAACTGGTAAATATCTTCTTCTCGGTCAAAACAAAATGCAAAGGACATCACATAATTCTTCCTATGGTCTGGGCAGCGGTAGTAGTAAACATTTTTAGGTGGCAGCCTTTGCCTGAAATATACAAAGAAAGAAATTTGAGCATATCAGACAACTGTTTTAGCTTCAAAGGTAATAAGAATAAATACCCAAGAAAACTGTACCATCAAGAACCCTAAGTGGTGGCCAAGGACAACACATACCACCTATGGTCAAAAAGAGACTGGAATCTGGCAACACTTTGTTCAAATTCCAGCCCTACCCTTTATCAACTACTTGGACAATGCAACATTAAACAAAGCTGAACAAGTTTTATTTGAGTACCTATTACATGCCCAGGCATCATACTAGATTCTTGATGTGTAATGATAACTAGGATAGGCAAGGTGTTGTGTTCATGGAGTATATTTTATAGTGGAAAGCAGTCAGTAAAATATTAAAAATAACTATACAATATAGTTATAGACTCTAAAAAGGTTTTGAGGGAACTAAGAGTGTGACATCACAGTGACATGGATAGGAAATGCCTACTTTTCCCAGGGAAGTCAGGTTTTTGTATTACAAGACTAATTCAGACTTTAAAAAAAAAAAGTGAATTGGTGAATATTCAAGGGGAGAAATAATATTCAACATTTCTTTAGATTATGACTATTATTTTTCTACAGAACATTTCATGAGACAAATTTTCCACAGAAGCATTTTAGAAACTGCTGCAAAATATGCTGCACAGGCAATTTTGCTGAAGCCGCCATGCTCATTCCCCAGTGAGGAACACTAAAACCATGCATGAGAAAAGGCAAAATGTTCCAGTCCTGATTCCTATAGCTTCTTATTCACCCACCTCACAGGCTCACAACACCCTGCCATGCTGCATGACACCCAAAATATTCACATTAGAGAAAGCCTCTCATTTCTGTCTCTTCAAATCCTGTTAATCATGCAAAACCCAATGCGAACTGTGCCTTGTCCACAATCATCCATTGACAATTTCAGGCCAGTTCAGTTCCCATATTTTATAGTAACTTGCTTTTTTATTGACTGCTTCCATTAGGATCCGTTTAGAAGCTCCTTAAGGGCAAATCTATTTCTGGGATTCTGGCACAGTGGATGGAGGATGGAAGGTTCACCTGGAATAGCTTGGAATTCAACTAAGAGGCCAAGGGCACAGAAACATGGAGGAAAATGTGAGGCGGAGGGTATCAGATGAGGCTGAGAAAAACTAGGTAGAACGGCCTTAAGAAGACTGTTAAGAGCTCCAAGAGCATTATAACATGTCCTCAGTTTACTGCAGAATCTTGTTTTCTGAAACTGGCTAAATGGTCAGGGTGGGAGGTGAGGCTGGGGTTTCCTGTGGAAGAGCAGAGGTCACGTGACTCTAATGCTGTTCAGAGTGGCTTATATTGCGTTTCTGTAGCCCTGGATGCTATGAATCCCACTCAAACATTAAGTGGAATGCAGAGAGGGGAAAAAGACAAAAGGAGAGGAAGAAAAAATAAAGGAAAGGAAGGACTGAGGGAAAAGAGAAAGAAAGGAATGGACAGTATATAACTTGTATGGGTTGTTTCTAGGGCCCATTCTGTTCCTGATTTAATCCTCATAACTATTCTGTTAAGGTGAATATTGTTATTCTACTTTGCAGATGTGATCACTGAGGTTCATGAAAGTTAAAGAGCTTCCCTATGGTCTCAAGCAAGTAAATGACAGAGCTGGGATTCCTATCTGTCTCTGTGTGATTCCAAGTTCAGTACCTGTAACAATTCTCCATGGTCCCTCTTGATAACTTATGGGCTCCTGCAATTCCAGATATGAGTGTGTCAAAGGCCAGAAAACAAGAGAGGACAAGTATAATATTAGGCTGGCAAGAAATACATCATAGCTAAAGCACAAAGAGTAAGAAGGAAAATCATAAGCAATGTGTTCAAAGTGGAAGGCAGAAGCCAGATTAGAAAGGGACTATATAAACCATATTAGAAAATTTAAACATTATCCTGAGATCACAAGTACCTTTCAAGTGAATAAAAGAAGTAAAGTATCATGATTGTACCAGTCCAAGGGACAGAGGAGAATGGTCAAAAGGACAGGGTAGTAGAAACAAGACGGATTTTTTACTATTAGAGGAAAGTGGATGATGTGTAGGGTCATGGAGTCTAAGACGGGTAGGAACTTGAAAGTGCCGAGATGGACGGGATCTAGAGAGAACAGCAACAGAGGTTTGCACCTGAAGGTCAGTGGTAGCATCAACGGCTATCTAGGGTGTTAGGCCCATCAGTAGAGTCCCTTTGTTTCCTACTCCCAAAGCCAGGAGGAATAAGCATGCAAGTAGCAACAGTCTTCCTGTAGTACAAAGATAACGTTAAGAATAACTCCATAGGTACTCCTTCTTTCTTACCAGATTGCTACCCTAAACCTTCCTATATTGAAATTTTAGAGACGCCAGTGCTAAGATGAAGAAACAGTGGCCTGGAAGGTGCATGCGGAATAAAGACGAAAGTTGTCCCCTCTTGATTCTTCTGTACACAGAGTGGAAATAGGCAGCTCCTTGAGAGAGAAAAAAAGAGGGTAGTGGCCTCCAGGACAGTCAGGCCTTAGTTCATTGTTTTATTTAGCAAATTTTGTTAAGTGTCATGTACCAAGTATAGTTTGGTTAACACAAGAGGCAAAGAAAGCATTGGACTAAAACACTGAAGATCCAAATGAGATTATTAACCATAGAACTATTTCAAAGGCAAAAGTGGAAAGTTTGGGATAGAGAGGGAAGCAGTGGAAAGCCAAGAGCAGAGAGAGACCAGACCAGTGCCGGGATGAGGGAGGGTATAGGGAAAACAGACGGTCTACATTGGTGATGTGACTGAACGTGCAGGAATGTGAAGCTGGTGGAATAAGCTAGGCTCAGGGTTCCAGATTTGGATTCAGGGAGAATGCCAGTAAGAGTGGCCTTGAAGTCTCCAGCCAATGGTCTGTTATCATCACTTCAGTCCCTGACTCAGAGGTATGAGTCTGAGCCTCCTAGAGCACAAGGTGAGCATGTCTTCATGCGCAACTGATTCCTACAGTCATAGGTCCCTCAGGTTATGATGCTGATGTTTTCAACTCTTCATTTACTGGTATATCTGATCAGGGCCCATGCTTTAAATCCAATCACCCAGTTTTCTCATATTCTAGCCAAGTTTAGCAACTTGACTCTGAGAGCCTGCCGTCTCCACCAAATCTGATTATGGGCTATCAGGAGAATTCATCTAATGCCTGCAGCTGTCCCAGCTACTCTCCTGAGTGGGTTGGAATCCTAACCTGATTTGCAGACAGAGTGAAGGTAATGGGCCCTAGAGTAATCATTCAAGGAAACTGAGATGCTGCTCAGGGTTTAGGTTTTCCAGACTCTGCTACAGATACAAAAATCTATTTGAGAAGGGTTCAGCAGGACAAATTCATGAGGACGTTCAAGTAACACAAAGAATAAAAGAAAAGAGGGCTGGGAGAGGGTGTGAGAAATGTGTCTCTCTCATTTGGAATGAACTTCTGGTTTTTTTCTTATTTTGCTTATTATGTTTTCACTAAGTCTCAGGCATAGTGTTGAATGTTTTATATGCATTATCATTTAATCATCACAATAACCCTGTGCGCTAGAGGCTATTAACATCCCCTTTACACAGCTGAGAAAATCGAAGCTCAGAGAGGTAAAAAGTTCCCCAGGATTGCAAAGTTAAGAAGCAACAGTCTGTATCAGACACAAGCTGGTGAGACTCAGAAGTCTGTGTTCATAGTCTCTAAAGCATCTTGCCACCTACCTCTCTCCCCTTGCCACCCAAATCAGAGCCTTTACCTTCTGCTTCCAGAAAAATCTGATTGCACAGTACTCTCCCTAAAACTCTCCAAAGAACATTTTTTCTCACATTTTATTGGCTCACAACACTCCTCAAGATCACCCAGTAATTCCAGCATCATCAGCTATTTCTCCCTCCTTGTGCCCTATATTTTATTTATATGAGCAACTTACAAGTCCTTAACCCAATTTTGAGTAAAACCTCCAATACCTCTGTGTCTTTGTACTTGGTATTCCCTCCCCTTGGACTGCGTCCCCTGCCATCTTAACTACTTGGTAAACTCTGCCTCACAGGTGTGGCATGTTATAGGTTGTCAGTAAAGGTTTAAATATTTTTTAAATGAACTAATTAATTAATAAACAAAAGAATGTATAAATAAATATCTATCTTTTAATATACCTCATCTGAAGCCTTCTCTGACTATTCATTCTTCATTAATTTCTCTCTACTTTGACATATGATATTTTAAAATGTTTTATCACCTGGTTTGTCTCTTAATGGGCAACAAAAGTAAGTGGAAATTTCTTCAGAGAAAAGGTAGGATTCTTGAAGACAGGAACAGTGTCCACCTTTTTCTTCTCTCACTAGAAATAGTACAGAGAAGTGTCAAATGATCCTTGCTTTTTTAAAAAAGCAATAATAAAAGGAAGACTTATCTCTGAAGATAAATGGTAGGTATCACAGGGAGGAAAATTTTGGCTCAGCATAAAGTAAAGACTCTTTAACATTGAGCTGAAGGGAAAGCAGAAAGGTCCACATTACAGGGGAGGACAGGTGTGGGAAGCTTTAAGGGATCCCATAAAGAATGTTCCTGTACTTGATGTTAGGTTAGACAAGGCAGCCTTCTGATTTCATAACATAGATAGTCTGAGATATCAAGGGAAAAACAACAATGATAATAATAATTCTGATTCCTAATACCTGTGTATCATTGACCATGTGCTAGGCCATTCTAAGCCCTTTATAGTGTATTAACTCCTTTAATTCTCACAATAATCCAATGAAGTTATTCTTATTATTCCAATGATATGATAAAAATGAAGGTAGGATAGGGTCAAGAATGCATGAGTCCCCAGAAGACTCTGGAAAGAAAAGAGTCTATAGCACCTGATCCTACCACAGATGCAAGAAGAGTTCAAGACCTGTGTGCGCTCAGAACTCAGTGACTAAAGGCTCACCCAGCTCTTGAAATAAGCCATTATCCTGTGTCTATCCTGGTGACTGAAAAGGACCTGTAACTCACATCCTCATATT